TGCAATCTAATTAAAATTAGATGTTCCGAACCCGCTACTGCTTCTCAAACATCTAACAACATCCTATTTGGGGTCATGTAAGAGTGAATCTTCGATTAGCCAAAGAAAATGGTTCCTCCGAAATCTTGGCTTATAGTTCAGATGGGTTTCTTGTTTTCACCACCGAACCAAAACACCCGAGGAGTTTTGTAGTAAACAAAATATGCATTGCAAAAGCTGTGTTATGTATGACGTGTGGGGTATCTTGTATAGTTTGTGCTCTTTCGTTTGCATTATTCACGTTCAGATGCCAGACTGCAGACTATACATGAAATTTATTCCAAAATTACTTTAATTCAACGTAAGACAGCATCAATAACGATGTTATGTAGCCGTGGAATTAATTTGAGAATTGTTTACCGAGGCTTGAATCTACATGGCCAAAGTGTTTGTGTTTACTAGTATATGTATTCATAATCGAAAGGTCGCTCTGATGTGACCCCGAATGGGATGTTAGATGTTTGAGAAGCGGTAGCGGATTTGGAACATTTAAATAAATTTTAATTAGATTAAAATGCATGTTTGAAATTTAAACATGAGATTTCTTCAGTTTGAAAGACAGGAAGTGCATTTCTAAAAGTTCTCTCTTGGTGGCATCCAATCTTTCTCTGGATGAAAACAATTATGTTGATGCTGAAAATTTAATTGTCTTTCATGCTCTATTGAATCTGAAATTAGGTAATTGTAAAGTCTACTATAGCAAACAACTAAAAAAATGACAAGTTAAATTCTTTAGATTAATGGATTTGGAGTACTGTAGATCTACAGTTGGCTAGTCAGAGAAAAAAGGATGGCTGAGCAGAGACTTTGTAAATGAATTGATATCAGAGAGCTCCAGATGTGTAGGCTCACTGCGGGTGTAACCTGTCAACGAGGGATGCTTACTTCTTCTAGGCAACGGATCCCATCTCTTGAACTTTCGGGAATCAGCTTTTCATCTTAAATCGATCATTGATCATTCTGTATTTTGATACAGATACTGAATACTTCCGTTTAGTAATATTATGAACTACTACTTCTACGGGAAGACTGGCGAGTAAACAAGATTATCAAGCTTTATGAAATGTACTTTATTGACTTTTCAAACAAGTAAATGTTCGAATAAAGTAAATGGTATATGAGAATCATTTAAAAGAAGTCTTGCACAATATGTCTAGATAAGGAAATATAAGGTGTATTTGCCATATACTCTTCATGCAATATTGTTCTCAAATAAAACGTTAAAAGGAAAGTTGTCTAATCAATCAATACTAGTATTTAAAAATTCAAATGTATACTAAAAGTCAGTGTAACTTAAGAAGTTATGTGTCACTTTCTTCAATATGTCGGATAAACAATATACACTGATTTCTTTTCTAACAATGTGCCTCTAAACACCTGTATTTTAATTTAATTCTTCTTAAACACTCAAAATAATAATCGACAAATTGGACAAATTCAAATTTAAAAAGTATTTTCTCAGCTAATAATACGTTCCTTAGGAATTGATCAAATTTTCAAAACTTATAAATAAGCATTAAGTATATATTTTAAATTTTTGCTAATTGCCAAGATTTTTCATACCTTATTCTTCTGTGAATAATAATATCGGTTGATTTTTAGAAGAGAATCACAATGCCGATTAAAATTAATATATATTTATCCATTTTTTTTCAAAATTAATTTTACTACTTTAAGTGCCCCATTATTTTTTTTCAAAACTAAAAGTAAGTGATCCCTTATGATCGTTTGTCATAAATTATCAAAGACGGAGTAGAGAATTTACCCCTGGGAGCAGAGCTTTTATAATCTGTTTATTAGACAGAGAAGAAAAGAGAAGAAAACAAACGTTTCATTGTGGAGGTAATCCTATTGTTTCCAAAAAAACGTTACAAAAAGTGTAAAACGTACAGATGTATTCGGTGTTTTTATAAAAGCGTTTTTCATGTATTACTTAACTTCATAAATGGTGTTTCTTAATACTTTGGCAAGGAAAATCAAACTCGATCGAGAGATTTGCTGATGTTTTTGCAGTCTGTAATAACCTTCAACCTGCTGTATAATTAACCGCATCGTTCAACTTTCAAAAATAAACTAACAGTTGCTATAAATCGCGATCGCACGATGTACATGTAATAAGGACCAAATTCTCAGTTCTTTGAAGTTAGTGTTCTAAGTATTGTCAATGCTTTGGTAAATACTAATAAGAATTCGATATAATCGTTATAATAGCCACTCTTCATACACAGCTTATAGTCAATCTCTCACCAGGGGGCGTATTACGCCAACAGTATACAAATCATAGGAAGCGCTTTGCTGAAGTTACCATTGTCGATAGGTAGCGCCTTGTGGAAGTTTCCGGTTTGGGTTGCAGAAGGATAAGGTTACGTGCCATAAAGCGACGTCGATAGGTAGCGCCTTATAGAAGTTTCCGGTTTTTGGAGGCCCATGCCATAAAGCGGTTAGCTAGCTAACCGCTTAAAAAGGAAGAAAGCAATGCCCATGAATCAATTTTGCCTAATACATATGTAGTAGAAAATTCTCCACGGCTGAGAGTTAAATGTTTGAGAAAAACCTCTAACCTTGACCCCTGAGAGAATGTGAAGGACGTCTGTAAACTGGTCCCCTGGTACACCACAATGTTGTAAAATGGCATGTAGTATCATCACATGGTTGACTTTTATGTAGTAATTTCTTTGCTGAAATTAACAAAGAATGAAGCTTTAACATATTTTTGTCAGACACAACTTAACGGCAATAATAAAGCCCTTTTTGTTTTATTGCCCCTCCTGAAAACATTAGTTTTAGATATTGGAGAGGGCTACATTATTGCAGCTAGTCACAAATATGAAATAGAATTTAAAGCTGGTTTTTGTTACCTGTAAAACTGGAAATTCAAAAATAATTTCTTGTACAAGAAGCACCACCTCAGCATCAGGGATGAGGCTAAAATTATGAACAAACAACAAATTACATCTACACCTTACCACATAAACCATAATCATCAACAAAAATCACACTCAAACCTCTGTCTTCATCAAGGTGAGTTTGTTAATTCTCATCAATATTTAATGAAACCAACTATCCAATCAAGAGCACAAACTGCCAGTTAAATCAAATCTGCAATCTATTTTAGGACTCTGTTACTTGATGTATCAATTGTTTGGATTAAGTCATGTAAACAGTCAAGTGGCAAGGAGGTGGAGGCTCATAAAACCTGTGTCTTTTGACATGATCTATAATCAATCAATCTTACCTGCCCAGGTTTGGGGTGACTATATCAAAGACACATTCAGTTAACTCCCTTGGATGCTGACCGTAGACTTTTTTCTCCCTGAAAACTCTCTCTATACAATATCTCTTGACATTACTGCAACTGTGACGAGCAACATATCTGACAAACGGAATCTAAAAAAATTGGAGAATCATAACAACGTACATGTATTTGAAAATTTGAATCTAAAAATTTTGAAAAAATTATAACAATCAATTTTTGAAAATTTTATCTGTCAAACAAATATAAAGATTTTTTTTGAGAATTTACTTTCACTTGTGCTTGCATAAATCTGTTACATGTACCTACTTTCATAGAACATTTTATGTAATCTGGTTTTTACCCTGAGATCAAATGGCAGTGATACAAGGTGACCACAGTGGTCCATGAATCGTGTGTACTGATCAGATTTAGCATACAAGTCACACTTGGGCATTAGGAGGGGGGTGGTCACTTTCACCGCTCCGTGATGCTGGAAGATCCTGACCAGTGTATCCTGAACTAACTCCTGAACCAGCGAGAGGTTGATCGTGAATTTACTCTGAAAGATTCATACATTTTTTAAATTAACAGTTAAAACATAACCCAGAGAAATCATATACCGGTACAGTAAAACTTTATTGATATTGATGGGACTTTGAAGTATCCCAACTATTGTTTTCAAGATATCAGTGTTTGAGAGATATGTAGGTTTAAATGTATTTCAAAATTTCAATTATCAAAAGATCTTGACCTAATGCATGTATAAAATCAAAGCCAAATCTGAAATCTATGCTTAAAAAAATTTCTCTCCCTCAACAAACCTTGAAAAATTCACTGTCAAACAGCAGATCATCGGCAGCATTGACAGTCTGGGAGAACAGGGCTGTAAGCATGTGTCTGTAGGCCTTACTGAGAGGATCCGCGATGGTGGATCTAAGAATTTCATCCAGTTCCTCTTCCTCCATTTGTGGAGGGGGTAGGTATTCTGACTGTAACAGCTCTTTTGTGGAGGCTCTCTTTGTCGGGTCATGGTTCAACAGCCACTTTATTATACGTGTCTACAGAAAAACAATTTTTTTTTAATTCACATTACATAAGGAATCAGTGTCTATTTTTGGAGTTAATAAAATGATAACACAATATAACCCATCAATTCAGAAAGAGGCAGTTGCTTTCAATCTAAATACACTTATCATAATTGTTGCTAAATACATACTTGATTGTTGTTAGACACTAACTTGATTGTTGCTGATACTTTAATTGATTGTTGCTAAATACTTACTTGATTCTGCATTTCATACTGATTAAAGTCTTCAGGGAATTTGATTTCTGGCAGCCTTAGGTTCCCCAGGATTTTCACTCTCTCCATTCCTGTGGCCAGTGGCTTGTAGCACATTTCAAAGAAGATGATCCCTAAACTGTACAGATCTACTTTCTGGTAAACAAAAATGGAAAAATGTATTAAGGATCAGTTTTCTTAAAACAAGATATTTTATTCACATCATATCCCAAATCTATAAATGAACAACCAAGTATCAAAAGGCAATGCAGAAGATAAAAAATAATGAAAATAAACATGCATTTCTATAACATTCCTTTAAAGTTTCATTCACAAGTAATGTTTTTTTTTACTAATGATATACTCAATTTTTAGAAAATTTCCTAAAAAAAATTCTAATTTAATGTTTCACCCTTAGACCATTGTTTGCACCACTGACCTGACTGTAGACGATTTTACTGGCCCCGGTCATCATCTCGGGACTGACGTATAGGGCGGTGCCCACTTTCCCCGTCAAGCTCCCGTCCCCCGTGGTCTCCGAGTACGATTCGAACGTCTCCTCAGTAGCACTCAGGGTCAACATCTTCACGTCTAGAATGTTACTCTGGAAGAATAGAGCAAAACGCTCACAAGAGTACGAATAATCTTATGCATACATGTAATTGATTTTGATATTGTTTGATATTAAATACAGATGCAAGAATTTTTCAATGCAAAAAAAAAAAAATAGTGCTTTAAAATAAGAATGCCCATTTTCACCTACTAAAAGTAAAATGTATAAATCATCAATACCAAAGAAATTGGTACCTTGTTTATAATACTGGTAGTTGCAAGACCAAAGTCTCCAATTTTCACTTGGTCATTGGAATCCAAGAAAATGTTGACAGGCTTAAGATCTCTGTGAATCATTCCCTGTAAAAAAAATCACAACATTTGGGGGTAAACATCTTGATGTATATCACTAAGCCTCAAAAAAGCCCATTTTGAAGTTCTCTGGAATAATTTTAATCCTTGTGGGTCAATGTTTGTAGGCAAGCAGATTTTACTTGTTCGTTGGGACATAATTTTCTTGGTTACGGTAATTTTTAATACAAAATTTCAGTGAATTAATGTTTAAAAAATAAACAGTCCTGGGGATGTTCAATTTGTAGGTAAAGGTGACCCATGAACACTGGTCCCCCATGAACATTGATGATTCCACAGTAAATTACAGATTTGTTACTTGTTCGTGGATGTGAGTCAGCCCCTCGATGATCTCCCTGAAGAGTCTCCACACGCGATTCATGTCCTGATACAGACCAGCATCTATACAGTTCCTCAGGGTGCTCTTCTCACAGTACTCCATCTATCACAGAAAACATAAATCTCAAGTCATGTTTTACTATATAATATTTTTTCACCTCTTCTCTAGCTATTCCTCACTAGTTGATATTTTAAGATATGATATTTTGTGGATGGACTAATCCAGAGTTAACTAACATACAATTGTCATGTAGTATACCTAATATCTCCATTCTATATAAATATTTTATGGTTTATACATTTTTAATATCATTAATTAGAGTGATAGTCAATGGCTGCTTCTGACCTGAATGTAGAGATAATGAAGTTTAGGGTTGAGAGCTGATTCGTCTCCTTCCTTGTCATTTTTTATCCCGCCATCAACCTACAACCATCAAAGTATTAATGATCTCTATCGACCAAAAACACAATAGAATACAGTATGCAGGGAAATTCTGCCCCTATTTCATTTTTGCCCCTTTCACTCTTGAACTAGTGGGCAAATTTAAAATGGGTCAAATTCAAGAAAGACAGGTCAAATTTTGTTTGTGCAAATTTAAATCAGGGCAGAATTAACTAGAAAACTGACCAGTCAGCAAGGGCCCCGCCATGGGGTAGAATTAATAGGGTGCAGCTTAAGGAATGATTAAAAAATGTACGAAGAATAAGCAACAGCAACTGTATTCTTAAAATTTCAAGATAATTCCTGAATATTCAAAAACCTGAAAATAATATCCTTGTATTTACATTAGGCAGTAAAGAACAACTTTATGAACATTGAATGTATATTTAAACAATTATGAAGCTTGTGTTATATAAAATGCCAGCCTTCAATGAATGCAAATATCATGAAGGCTTGACCTTAACTTCAAACAAACAGCAGTTGCAGACAAAGGTTTACATTAATCTTAAAGTGACAGATAAAGAAAAGCCTACTAAATTTTCTGCAGCAGGCTAGATAATTAATCCCAAGGGATTAATTGTACCTCTCTCATCATTTTCTTCTAAAGTTACAATAAGAACTTTTTCAGTATTAATGATAGAATGGGGTTTTTATACAACTATCCTAAAAATTAATAATATTCTTGAATTAACATAAAGTGAAAAAAGTATATCAAAAAATCTTCTTTAATCAATTTCTTGTTATTAGAATTCAATGAAATCATAACTATTAAACAAAAATAAATTATAAAAATTTATATTTAAATCCACATTTCAGAGTGTTCAAACTTCATTTGCAGACAGAGGTGGTAATTCATCTCAATTTGACAGATAAAGATAATGCTCTGGATTTTCTTCAGGAGGAAAGCTAATTAATCCCAAGGGACTCATAGCAGCATTCAGTTTACAATGGGAACATCTTCAGCAGTTATCTCTCTTTGCCAATGCTTTCGTATATAAAGTTAAGGAATCTACCCCACCACCCCAGCTCCAAACCAGGGGACATAGAGAACCAAACTTAGCATCAAAATTTGTATTTCTGCCTACTGAACTACCATACCAAATTTGTACTTGATTGGGTAACCATAAAAAAAGTTGCCCATTCATTCTTATGCATAGTTAAGGAATCTACCCCACCACCCCAGCTCCAAACCAGAAGACATAGAGAACCAAACTTAGCATCAAAATATGTATTTCTGCCTACTGAACTACCATACCAAATTTGAACTTGATTGGGCAACCATAAAAAAAGTTATTAGAAAAAAACAGAAAATTTGTGGACGGAAGAGTGACAGACGGACAGACAGAGTGATTACTATAGGGCACCCGCAAATTCTTGCGGGGCCCTAATTACAAGTGTTAAAGGGCAAAAATAGCACAGGCATAAATAACCTTGTGTACAGTACAAAACGCAGCAAGGTATCGAAATTATGTAATTCTACTTCATGCCGCCATGTCAGAATAAGGTAAGAAGTGACAAATAAATAAACTTCAGCTTGTGTTGTCTTTACCTGATCCACTAGTACATGTAGATCCTCGTTATCCAGACTCTGTATGAACACCACATCTTCTGACATATCTGTTAGTCTCCTAGTAAATAAATCATCAAAAATATTTAACATCTAAAACAATGTGAACACCTCCATCCTCAACCAGTTTCACACTTTTGTCAAAAGAAGTGTGTTAATGATGAAAATGTGGACTTACATGTGCTTTAAAGCTTGGAAAACATCTTATTGAAATGAGATGATTTTAAAAAATGCTGTTTTTAAAAACACAATTACTAGTACTTAGAAAAATTACACTCAAAGGTGATAGTTTTCTAAACTGTAACAAGACAAATACTGTAACAACAAATTCAAATTTAGGGATATTAGAACATTACATTTAAAGTTGACATTATTACTACCAATCAGGCCACTAGGAAGCATTTTCAGTTTGGGCGAGGAGGGAAGGGAACAACCAAACATTATCAGTTTTGGGTAAGGGGGCACTAAAACAAACATTCCTTGATAAGCTTAAAAGGAAGTTGTCAAAATAAGCATTATTACTGAAGGAACAAAATAATAATAATAATAGTATGTTTTCTCTACATTGGCAAAATTATTGGGGGTTCATGCTTCCCCTCCTATTCCTACATTCAAGGCAATGAATACCGGTATCACTTACAGGAAAGACGTCCCAAACACGTCAGCCTCGTCTTCCTCATCCTCCTCCGAGTCCCAGCCCGGGTTGACGATCGCGGAGTATGACCTGCTCCACTCCACCGAGTCCTCCACGGTCTCTGGAGCCAGTCTCTCTGCATTATCTGTCAGGTCCAGGCTGTTGTGCAGTTTGTCGGGGGTTTTAGGGGTGGATCTAGGGGTAGTACTGACGGAACTGGAACTCTCGCTGTGGGCGGGGTCATCACTGAGCTCGATCCAGGAATTAAAGTATCTGTCCGGAGAATGAGGATGGATTAATTAGCTCATAAATAACTTATAATTCTATTGTTTTTACATACCTTAACTTGAACGTACTTTATTTACCATTCTAATGATTGATATGAAAGCCTTTATAATTTAGAAATGGGGTAAAAATGTATTTTGCATTAGTTTGTATTTGCCAATGATCTATTTTTCTCTTAAAATATTATTTGTCTCTTTTCATTTACATGTAGATTTACAGACTCCATGCTGATGTGGTACCTGTAAACATCAAAACTGTACAGACCTTTAAAAGCTTTACTATTCTAATGCTAGACATGCCTTTTCATTTACCTTACTACATTCTCATGGTTGAGCCTTGACAACAGTTTGACTTCTCTTGTAATTTTCTTATTGAACTGTTTACTCTTTGGGTTTAATGGAATTCTTTTGATGGCATAAAATCTTCTATCCAATTTATTCCTGACCTATTGAAAACAAATATTTAAAAAGATTTTTTTCTCGAAGTGATTTTTTAAAAAATGAGTAAGGAATGTTTTTAAATTCCATAATTATGGTAGAAAGTTTTTTTTTTACCTTGATGACGTCACCGAATCCTCCCTTGCCGAGAGACTTGAGAATCTCGAACTCGTTGGTCAGACGAGACTGACCGCTGGCCTCGTATGGCGTGATCAACGGCTGCTCCTCATCAGAGGAATCATCATCTAGATAACAATGAAACAATGATTACTCTGATATCAGAATATTTTATACATATATAAGTTCATTTAAAAACTTTAATTTCATTTATTAAATTATTTGTCATAAATCATAAAATTGTATACTGAAGTTTTCAAAAAAGACACAAAGTCATATTACTTTAAAGCATGTTCTAACCACAAATAAGCAGACCAGAAGCAGTGCATAAGGAAAGGCTTAAGAATATGATTGCCACTAATTTCTGGAAGTGGATCTCTTCTATATTGCCTTGCTAGTGGTCACTGGACATAATATTTGACACTCTCTAAAGTGGACCTCATATTTGACAATACCTTGTGAGTGGACCTCCTCTTTTGTTTCCGGTTTTGAGATTGGCAGACTGATTGGGAGAGCTGTTTTGATAAAGCTATGGTCCAGTAACTGGTGAACAGACCAGCGCGTCTTATCATCCTTAATTAGACATCTGAAAAGGGGAAGTACATGTTATTGTAATCATAACATCAGTGACTTTTTTTTTTCATCTTAAACTCTTTAATATTTGAATTTCAGGAATACAGTAAAACTTGTTTAGTATGAACACTGATACTGCAAATTCAAAGAAATAGAGAAGTAATCTTGGATCCCCAGCTATGTAAATTTAAAGAAATCCTTATATAGATATAAGTAATTATGGATATAGCAAAGTTATTTCATAGGTTCCGGTGACTTCGTTATAACAGAGTTTTACTGTACTTTGATAATAACAGACACTTGTCCATGAACAATAAAATAGTGTCACATTCCTCGAATAATAATACACATCATGTGTTTAACTTGAGATTTCTCGGATAATTACTGTATTACTTAACTTATGATGTACTACTAACTTGTTGAGGAAGTCCTGGAAAGATGCTGGGAAATGAGAAGGTATTTCTAGGTCTGACCCCTCTACTTCTTCTCCAAGGGCAAGTGACAGCAAAACTATACCCTAAATATATGACGATACAATATTAACAAACTAACCCTTTAAAGGCAAAATCATAAACCATGCTATCAACAACAAACATGACAGCAAATTAGACCCTAAACAGTGAAAAAAAAACCCCTAGAATTTTATGATACACGTACATTAAAAAAAAGGAAACTGTTTCTCATTGTCATGTTTGACTTCAACTTTTCGATTGTTAGCCTCTTCACACAGCAAAAACAATGAAAGTAAAATTTCACAAAAGTTTCCCAGTATGAACACATAAAACATGATTACATTTTAAGTTGTCACTAATCTGACCACAGCAAAATTAATCTACTGCTCATACTGCTTCACTCTCATGAAGTATTGGTGATCAGATTTATATCTTTAATATCATGTTATTAATGTATATATACCAGACTGTAGACATCCCCCTTCTTGGTGGCCCGGCCCTGGACAGTTCTGTGGTCATCAAAGTGGACGCCTGGTCTGGACTGCTCCAAAGTGTAAAACAAATCCGATAACCTACAGACAGACAGACAGACAGTAACAACACTGTTTACATTCAGCTTACTGTTTCATGAACAGTTTTCAGTTTTCCGATTATTTTTATCTTTAAAATTTAATATAAATTTCAATGGCTTAAAGTATTGTTTTCCGATTATTTTTAACTTTAAAATTTTTTATAAATTTTAATTGCTTAAAGTATTGTTGACATTTTATAGAAAAGGTTTTGATAACAACACATCTCTATTCCATTGTTAAGTTGACCATTTACTGCATAGTGCCAGTTCAGTATTTCAATCCCTTGAATCAAAATGCATGAAAACACAAAGATAATGCATGAATTTAGTGCACTACAAGTATACTGCATGATAAATATCACTGGCTTTTATTTTTACCTTCTTTCAATACTGTAGTCAGCAACTCGGATTTTGCCTGTGGCATCCAAAAAGATACTGGAAGCCTAAAATGATAATATTTCATTTCATATGAAGTCAAGGAAATAAGAAAGACATAGCATTGGAAATTGTAATGTTTATGCTTCTATTTATGGATATCTACCCTGAGACTTTTGTGGACCACGTCTTTGTTGTGTAGACATGCTAATGCCTCCAGAATTTCCTCTGTATGATGCCTCAAATGAGCGACGTGGATCGGACGTTTTCTCCGGATGTTGACAGATAAACTGCTCCCACTGCAGTACTCCATCAATAACTGTAAATAATCAACAGACCGTCAAACACAAATTAGAAAAACACCCAAATAAACAGTAAACAGTATTGCAGATTCCTTATTTTCAGTGAGGAATTTACAATTGAGTTATTTCACAAGATGCACCAATTGCAAAATGATATTACCCTCTTTTCGTTTTTTTTCATTGCTAAAAATTATGGAAAACTCTAAACTTGCAAATAAGTGTCTTGAGGTTTGATAACTATGAGTCATTTTGTGATATTATACTACTCTCATAAAATAAGGAACCTACAGTAATCATGACAGTTGTTTCCCAAATTTATTTCACCTTATAAGAAAAATTTAGTGTTCAAACATTTTTTCCCTATTTATTACAATGTAAAAGTTTTACTTTCCTTTTGTTGTCATACCCCTGCCCCTGATTTGAATAAAGTTTAATAACTTGAATTTTTTTCTGGATGAGATTTTTTTAATGAGACTTTTTAATGATTCTACAATGTATGTACTGGATCTCTCTCCACACAAGGAAGCTTATCACAAAATTTGTTTGATATCGACTTAACGATAGCAGGGAAAAAGTTGACAGAAGCCAGGCACTCTTTGATCAGAGGAGATCAGTTGAGCCTCTGGCTCAAGTGAGCTAAAAGTGGCCACAAATAAATATGAATAAATATGCAATTAAATCTGACACCTTATATATACATTGCTACATCTTGAAATGACTTACAAAGACTGTGATTTTCCCTGGATCTTGTTGATATTTGATGGCGAGGTAATGAACAAGGTTAGGGTGGTGTAAGCGGATCAGGGATAATAACTCTTGTTCAATACTGTGCACCTGGTACGAAAAAATCCAACAATTCACATGGTTAAAAGCTTTGATGATAAATATACTGTAAACCAACTATTATTTGCATCATCTTTTATTTGCGATTCTTTAGTTAGAATTCAATCTGCGATAGTTAACTCTCGCGACCGAGGAAAAAATCTTTACAAATACAAGGCAAAATTGATAGTTCAGAGTACCGGTAGTAAAAATTCACAAGTTAAAGATAGTCGCAAAATTTTTGCAAATTATAGATGGTTTACAGAGATGAAGAGAAAAGCATTCCATAAATATTGAACATGAAATGAAACTACTGTAAAGTCATATTTTCAATGGGTCAATTTTTAGTGGTTTGAGAAAAATATATTGGTTCAATGGGTATTTGAATTCATGGTTGAAGAATTGTTGCATTTCTTGGTAGACATTAATTCATGGGTCTCTTCATACCTTATAAACCACAAAAAATAACCCCGACAAAAATTTGTGATCTCACAGTTTGTTTTATACCTCTGGCATAAAAGGGTCAATCACAACAAAATATAACCAAGCTGGGAAATCAGGTAGCATAAATGAAAGAGTATGTGACTGATATTGTGATCTATAGCAAATTAATACATTTTTACTGATAGATTGGACTTTTTATTAGTGGTTGCCATAAAACAATGACCTTCACCCCCTGCACCTAACTTTTGATTAAAGAAAAAACTGTAATGCAAAGAATAAACTCTAGAACTTGCAATGCTCCGATGGAAAATGCACAGCATACATTACTGATTGGTGTTATATTGTAAATCACTTTTAATTCGCAAGAACTTTATTTTCGCGTAATTATGTGCTCACAAAAATTTAATTCTCGCGTATAATCGCACTCCTTAAGATTATATAGAGCAAAAACCGCAATTCGTGAAAATTTTGTCTCGCTAATCTACCCCCTCTTCTTCCCGCTTGCACCCATCTGTCCTATCTTCTTTGTATTGGGACAGAACATTACATAAACCCCACCTGTTTGCCCTATCCCTTCAGTACTGGGATGGAAAAATGAACCCAATCTGTTTGCCCTATTCAGTATTGGGAGGGAACATTACAAAATATCCACCTGTTTGTCCTATCCCTTCAGCATTGGGGAGGGAACATTACATAACCCCCACCTGTTTGAGACAAGCTGCCCCCTCTTTGTCTTCATCTTCATCCTCCTTTCTCAGAATTTTCTTTCGGCCATAATGTCGCCATTTTAAAACCCACTCTGATATCGTTACAAGTTCACCGGATGTTGTGTCTATTCCAACATACACTGTGTTTCCAGAGGATCCATGCCCTGTTAAAAAATCACTTATAATCATTGGTCCAAACTGTAATTTTTTTCTCAAAATAGGGCCAAAATACTACCAACTCAGCACTAAAGAGCAATCACTCAATTACCAAATGCAGGGTCTACATGTACATGTAGCTATGAGACCTGCTTACGTCATAACTTTTGAAGAAATTACAAATAAAATCAAACATCCCAGTCACATTTCTAAACAGTCAAAATTATAATGACATTCCTGAGATTGTGAAGTAAGAAGTATTAACTATTACTTTACATGAGCTGTTTCAGAGATTCCTCACCCAGACAGGTGCCCCTGTGTACAGTTCTCTCCCCCTTGGTGTTAAATGCCAGGACTACAATGCCCCCCGTGTGATCCTGACAGACATGATCATCTGGGGACTGTCTGCAAGGAGTACTGGTCCTCCTAGAATAAAACAGATTAAAGGAAGTTTATTTACAGTGAAACCTAAATATATAGAACATAGAAATTCTGAATTTGAGGATAAGGTGAAACGGACAGTTGGTTCAAGCATTATCATAAATCTGAGTTTAGCCCAGTCTGATTGACGACGTTAAAATCCAGTCCAACCATATTTGGGATACTGAAGTGTGACTATAAATTCTTGGAAACGGAAATTGCAACCTTAAAGCCATAGATGAGAAGATTTGCTCTGTAACTATCATGAAAGAGAGCATTTAATCCATTTATAACAAATACATGTACTTTATAGTGTTTATTTTTTTCTTCAGTGACACAAACCTTTGTCTCCTTGGTTTGCTGTCTCTCAGTTCATTGTTGGCATGGACAATGAGGGGGGAGGGGGAGACAGAGGTCCGGGGGCGGGAGATCTTTCCTGGGGTTCCCACAGGGGAAATATTTGGCACAGAATCTGATGTGGGGGAGGGAGGCACAGACAGGGGCCTCTCCTCAACCTAAAAAAAAATAATCTCTTTAAAAATAATGTAAACCTACTTTCATTTAAAAACTTTTATTGATGATAATCAGTTTGAAATCCATCAGCAACTACTATTTTTCATGAATCTATTAATGATTCGCAATAAAAATATTTGTGAGTAAAAGAGGGTCACCATAATTTTCACACATGAATGAAAGTTGGTAAGATGTAAGATTCTTGGTATATGTACTAAAAGTATTTTGTGCTCAGAGGAACATATTTTTTTTTTTAAATGATCAAAGTTAATTTTAAATTTACACATGCACTTACTTGTTTTATTTCTTCTTTTCTCTTCTTATTCTCTTCCTTTAGAGCTTCTTTCCTCCGCTGGATTTCTATCTCAAGTGTTTGTAGCTGAATATTAATGAAAAGAGAGGAAAAAAGATCTAATATGAATACTTCTTAAAATACATGTAAAAGGTATTTCCTCTCTCCATCATATGGGACATATCCTTAGACATATCCTTTAATTTTTGTGAGGGGAGGAAGGGGGGGGGGGGTTAATTTTCGTTGTTTTCCAGGTATGGAGAGAGACCCAAAAATTTATGACTACCACTAAATGGAAAATTTAATTTGCATACTACTAAACACTGTCCAACCACAAAATCAAATCCCCACAAACTAGATTTTTTTTCTTCAAACCAAGAAAATTTGACCCCTGGAAAATAAGCTATTTCACAGTATTTACCCCCTTTTCTACTTTCAACAGTAACTATAATGTTACCTCTGTTCCCCCTATTTACCCCCTTTTCTACTTTCTACAATACAATGTTACATGAAGATTTCTTACTAACCTCCTTTTCCTCTTTCCTCCTCAGCTTCTCTAGTTCTTTCCTTTGTTCCTCCTCCCTCTGTTCCTCCTGTTTCCTCTTGTTTATCATCATCTCATCATAGAAGGATTTAGCCTGGGGTTTGTTGTGTGCATGTAAAAACTGCTGCACATGCTGGGCTATTTGTAGGAGCATTTCCTGAAATAGGTAAGTGTTCAAATTGAAGCACTACTATATAAAAGAAATTCATATTATTCTCAAATAAGATTATCTGACTTTATCCATACTTCTCCCTTGTTTTCTTTAGCTATGGCATCTATTTCTGACTTAAGGTTGGATAGCTGGGATGTTGAAAGACCTTTGGCATTGGTGAAACTTAATTCAGGAACCCTGAAAAAAAAATTATTATTACATGAAATTATATAGTTTTCATGACTTGTAAATGAAAACACTTAAGGTCAAGATCTAGTAAATGAAAGATGCCTACAGATTTATCATATTTGAGAAATAAATTCCTTTATTGGTGCTTTATAAGTTAAGCTTGGTTTAATGAGGTGTTTTGGGTCATAATTTATAGGTGAACAAGATAAAAAAACAACATATTTTAAACTGACTTTTTTAATGAAAAATTAAGAAACCAGTCATGAATATGGGATTTCTTTTCATATTCGACAAAGGAAATGTATCCAGATTGCCTACAATCTCTCAAAAAACATTAACTTGTATAATAATTCTCTCTTCTTTAAAATAATATCAAATTTAATATAGGTATCAGGATCACTTTTCATAATATGATTTCAAATTGAATGCCATACAAAATACCCTATTTTCTACATGATTCTGCTAAAGCTGTAAAATAAGGGAAAAAGAAAGTTGAAATTGATTATGACGACATAATGGATTTAGCTCCAAAAAATTAATCTAAAGTCATTTACTACATGTAGACCTTCACCTTAAAGCAGTGGCAAGTTCCCAGTCTGATTAATGCCACCCCAAACACCAATGCTTTGTTCCCCCTGCTATGTGTAGAGTGAGGTACTCAAGTAAGGTAATAGGAGGGGAAGGTTTTAGTCAAATTTACATTACATTTTACAGTGGTTTTTCCCCCCTCTCTCGGTGCTAATAGATTACTTACTCTTCTGGATATCTTGGAGGACATTTAACAAGCAGATCGACCTGAACATGGGTTTCCTCTTGCTGTCCTATGCTCTCCTGTGGCTTAATGGTAATCTGAATCTCAGGAGGCCTGGCAACCTGTGTTAGTTTAAGAAATAAGGTATCACTTTTTGAGTTTTATTGGGATGCAAATAAATCATGCATTCATTTTAAGTTGTTTCCTACTCATCAGTGCAATGAAAAAGGAACAAATTTTACAAAAAATGCATATACATGTGTATTGTTTGTATCTCAAATAAAAAATGGAATGTACAGTACAATTTTGTACATGCATGTGGATAACATTTGAAATATGAGTATAGTGTATAGTTAATTAATATAACATATGAATTATGATATCGAAGACTTCTAAAAATAGTTTTCTTCTGTTTTTTGTTTGCTGCATGGAGATGCCATCATTTGCCAGTGGAGAGCTATCAATACTTTGCACTCAAGACCAATGAGCAGTAATCTTTTTTCGTACTAACAACTAATGTGACTCAGGACCTCACAGTCTCATCTAAAGGACCGATCTCCACGTCCCGCACTAGATTCGAACCCATGACATAAAAATGAACTTCTCACTCTGCAACTCTAAAAATGGTTTTAGAGGATCAAGTAAATATTAAGGGAAAAAAAACTAATGTAATTCATTTATGCTGGAAAGCTGTCGCTATGTAAAGGTTACATACCGGACAATTAAAATCAACTGCATAGGCTATGAGGAAGACAGCTGAATATATCATGATAACTACAAGAAATTGGAAATTGTAACAGTCATGACTGACATGCAGAATATGTTAACTAGTTTGTTGGGTATGCCAGAGTGTTAACGATTGTTGGAAACATGGGATAAATAAAGCCTGTTCTTCATAAATGACCCAACAAACTTGACAGTGATATATCATATATGAATGGTGACAGATGCAGATTCGGGATGTTTTTTCCCGAGATGGGAGCTAGTCCACATCAAAAACATTTGTACGAGTAAAAAAGTAATAAACTTCCTGAATCATGAAATGTAAGGGGGCATTTTCCTAAGTCTATTTTCTATTTTTGTAAGAGGAAAACCCTGTAGGGAAGGGGGATATGATCAGATGTATATTTGGCCAATTCATCCCCTTAATAAGTTTTTGTTTGTTTCATTATTATTACTTTAAATGATGTAACTTCTAACTTTCTTCACAATATCACTGATATGTTTTTTTTATTCCAAAGCTTGATCGAATTATGATAAAAAGAACAGACTTTATATAATTCATGCAGTTTTCATTTCCATTCAATAGAATAGTCCAGGAAAAGAGTGCAAAGACTTACATGTGACATTTGGCACCAAACCTTTGTGTCACCCCTTACCTAGAAGACAAATGGACTAATCCAGTATAATAGAAACGCAGAAAAAAGATCAAGCCAGTTAACGCACATGTCTGTATAGGAACGCGCATGAAATATATAACTGCATGCGAAAAACTAAAGGAAATAAACACATCATATATTGTATCAGTAATATGGTTATTTTTCTGCTAGCCTAACTGTTGTTGTTGAAATGCAGGTAACGCAGGCAACAAAATCCGATGATATCAGCATGCACAAAATTTTTATGGCTAACTGTGACCTCCTAGCTTCGCTCCTCTGAAATATTGATCCGTAGAAGTGCTTGACGTCAGGCAAAAATGATTTTTAATAAAAACTCAACAGTATAAATTGAATGTGTTGTACTGTACACACGCCAATCACTTATGACGACACTATCAAATTACGTACATGGTTTATGACTAAACAATTTATGGTCACATAAGAGCTTGTTTTACACAGGTGTTTTCAATTGATGGTGTAAAAACGCCTTGCTCAAATAAAGTTATTTAAGCAGGTCCAGTACAATATCTTGATTAAGCTATATAGCTTTAAATACCTATATAGCTTTATTAAGCTATTCAAAATAGCTTTATTTAGCTATTTATATAAAGTTTCTCACAAAAAGAGTTTTTTGCTGAAAATAAACAAAAAGTCGCATGTATATGACTCTTCATAATTGTACTACGGGCTATCTAAACAACAACCAAAATCAAAGATAGTTCTAACTTTGCAGCTTTTGAATACTTTTCAGCAAAAAGAGAATTTATTTTGTTAGACTAACTGTCCACTACCTTGGATTCCTTGAGGCAAGGATAAGTATGATTGCTTCTCATTGTGCTAAACTGTTACCAATCAATTACCTTATTGAACATAATTGGTCTCCATTATAATATCATTGCAGAAGTAACTGTATCAATTGCTTTATATAGCCCCAAAACTTGTAGAGCTTTGAGTACAAAGTTTCTCAAGGAGACGTAATTTGATGAGTGATTTTTTCATGCATTGCCATTATTTTAAGAAGGGTTCAAAGTTGTATATCATAACTGCACCAAGGTGCGCTTTATTGTACATACTGAGAAAATTACACTTTTAAGAAAAAAGTGTAGTAAAATAGCTAAATTAAGCTATACTGAATAGCTTAATACAGCTATATAGCTATTTAAAGCTATAGAGCTAAATCAAGAGATTGTACTGGACCTGTTAACTGGTTAAGGGAAATATTTTTTTAAACCATCAAATTTTAAAATAATATGCACCGCTTCCATTTTCTGATTATGACTAAAACTTGCCAGCAGATTACAACGATTTCTACTTCCATTAACTTTAATTAGAAGGACCTGTGTACGTATACCTTCCAAGCATCCTTTTCTCTTAGATCCACCACATCACCAGTGAATATCGCCTGTAATGCCTGAAGTTCAAATTCCTGTCTCTCTGAAAGAGACTCCTCTGCCATTGGGCTTAATTACTGTCAATCATTATGTTGATTTTCATCTTCAAACATAAATGAAATGAGAGAATACACAAAACATTGAACAGTTGCCTGAGTTGGCATTTTTTCATTCAAAGTTTACATGATTAAAAATTTTCAGAATCCCGATCCCGATTTTATTAAAGATTTGTTGTTAACTCGTGCTTTGTTTATTCGACTTTTAATCTTTGTAGTCCGTATTGAACATTATTTTATAGAAATTATATAAAGAATAATTAACTTTAGAATATAGTTATCTTACTGGATTTTGATCAAAACGATGGTGAGACATTTTAAAAATTACAATTTGGTCAATTTTTGAAAGGTATGATATAATTTAGATTTATTTTTGAAATTTTTTAAAATCATAAAAAAAAACTTTCATAGATACAGCTACCTCTCTCTTCTAAGCCTTGTCAGGCAATACTGTATAATAGAATTAGTTATAAAATAATGAGTTTATCTTTATTTGGTGTTATTGTTGGTTTCTCAATCATTTACAATAAGATTACCTTTCACTATGAATATGTGTACACACGTACCTATAGTTCAGATTCAGTTTTGAAAAAAACATCAGAGTTAGAAATGTAATAAAAACTTAAGTCCAAACAGTCAATAATTTGATAAACATTTTTATTCTGACAAAATTCAACACAGGAAACAACCAGTTTTATCATATCTGATAATCCTCCATGGAGAAACCTTTCCTCATAACAAAAATGTAGACTTTGAATCAATCAGAGAAGACAGAATTTGTATTTGTATTTAAATGAATAAATCCAGTCTCTTGCACTTTTTTCAAAAAGCACAAGCAAATTGTAATAATAAATAATGCAGATTTTCCAGCACCATTGAACACAGAGTGTCTATAGAAACATGCAGAACCTATATTAGTAGAATTTCCTCTGATCACCTCTTGTGCTGTCCTTTGAAATAAAAGTCTATGCCTTTCTGTTGCTTTGGTGGAGATCCTCTTGACTTTGCACTTCCCTAAATCAAACAATATTACATTTATCATCTAATTTAAATACCTTAAAATAAATCGCTGTGGCACTTTTTACCATTTTAACCCCCCTATGCACATAAAATACCACAAAAGTACCGGTACTCATTAGGATCCCCCTTCATAAAGAAAATGAGGATAATCAAACTTACTGAAGCCTTGTTATAATGGCGACTCCATTCTGGGGCTACATGGACAGGATTAGGGTAGGTCTCCCCTAGGGTCACCCCTGCCTTCTCAAGTGTCCCCCTACTTAGTGTCCACACAATGTGGACTGATCCTCCATGGACGTTCTTTAGTTCAGGTACCCACATCCTTACATAATCACCCTGAGACAGAGAGCCATAAAAAAATATCACAGCAATGTTATCACTTAAGTTTTAAAATGTTTTTATTTCGGCTGTTATTATTAGACATTCTGACTAGCAATGTTCTATTGATATTGAATAGTCTTGCTAAATATTAGAGATAACAAATTTGTATGAGATGCAATTTTATCTCTATCATTCAGACTAATTTTTTAAAGTTTAAAATGCATGTCAGAGGTAAATATATGTGTCAACCTAGCATTCCACTGCATATACCATACATGTATGTATAAAAGAGAACAAAGGTCAAATACACAGTACCTCGCTGTCATAATCAAAACCCTGTTTGACAACGTTAAATTTCCTATCCTCTCTGGGGTCGTTTCCTATTCCAGCACTGTATAACCAATTACCATAGTTACTGCACACATCATGGTCAATCTAGAATTAACAAAATTGAAAACAATGTTATAGATTTTTCAAATTTTATTAATACAATAATACAGATGAGTATAAAGATATTTTAAAGAAATATACTTGTCTAATAATCACTAAATAATGTTAACATACCAGCATTGACTCGAACCACTCTGCACCCAAACGCCAATCTAATCTCAGGTCCTTCGTCAGAAAACTGGCAACATTCTGTAAAATAATAAATAAAAGACTAATTTACAGCCAACATACTTCAGATTTAAGTGCTTGAAAAGGAGAAAATGTATGGCTGCATGGACCAGGAATCAAACCTGTGACCAAAGCATCACTACTAATTAAGGTGGCACTACTATTAAAGTGAACTACCCATGCCGATATCCATGGCCCAAACCATTACACTTCACTGATCAATACCTTACCTGTCTTCCTCTGTTAGACATGAAACCAGTGGCTGCCATCTCCCTCATGTTGGCATCAACAAATGGCACACCAGTTCTTCCCTCTGTAAACAGGAGACAAGTTTTTGTTTCTTAATTTCATTTTTGAATAGTTTAAATTCAATTCCCTGTTTTCTATTAAGAACCAAAACTCACCTTTCCAAGCATTGAACAGGTGCTTGTCCTGTTTCCATCTAATGTTCTTATTTTGGATACCTAAAAAAATTAGGCACTTTTAAAGAGCATTGATTTTGAGAAGAGCAAATAGTCACAAATTCTAAGTACATAAATGTAAGTAAAGCAGGATACCATCCTTACCTCCTTCAAAAAAGATCTGATTTCCATACTTCATGGCTACATATCTGAAATAGTCCCTCCAGATGAGTTCAAAGAGTACCCAGTATGTTGACTGGTTGGCTGTTCTCTCATTCTCGTACCGCTTCACCTCCCAGTAAATCTGACGTGGAGACAGTGATCCAAAAGCAAGCCTGAAATCAAGTAATTTGTTACAAAGAGCACTGTCATCCATTGCTATTCTCATCCCTTTTATTTTAATTAATGATGAAAACATTGTAATTCATTAACAGTAGTTAATTATAAAGCATGCAAATTCATTGATTAATTTTTTTTTTAAATCTCACAAGGAAATAATAAATGTTTTCATACCAAACTGAGAATTTTGTAGAGTAGTCTGCCCCTAGCATGCCATTCCTGGTTTCTTTGTAGGTGGCGATAGCATCGGTGTCCCACAGATAGTGGTGGAGTCTCTCTAGGGCAACAGATTCTCCTCCATGAAAGTCCACCACTGACCGGTGGTCCGGTGATGAATCTTTAAAAATAACATTACAGAAATTGAGAATGGAACCAGCTCAAAATCAGTGCTATATATGTCAAAATTTTAAATGTTATGAGAACCATACTAACTTCATGAAGAAAGATTTCAAAAACATATTTTATGATTTTTATGAAAAGAATCTTTATCATGCATTTTTCTAACATGAAGGCTTCTAGCTCTTTGGTGTTTTTAAGAAACCATTTTTTTTTTGCTGCCATGACAGAAATTCCTTTTTCCATCTACACAGCATCATCGTCATGGCTGACCCTATCTGCGCCCTGTATTGTATGCTACGTATATAACCTTGATAAGAGCAAAGTGCTGAAAGGCGGATTTAGCTTAACACATATCATCTTGACTTGCGCCACTGTTAACAGGGCGCAACTCAAACATGATTGCGTGGATAATTCTGGAATGGAATACAAGGAACTTGTACATAATTTACATTGAACATTGATTGATTTATTCAAATATTGATTGGCTTAACATGAGCATACTACAATACATTGATTTGAATGAACTGAATATTGTTTTGTTAAATATTGTTTGAACATTGATTGATCAAATTGAATATTATTGATCGAATTGAGCATTCATTGACTGAATTGAACATTGATTGATCGAATTGAACATTGATTGATGAATATTGATTGATGCATAAGGCTGACGCAACTGCAGGAACTTTGAAGCCAAACGTCAGTCTTATCCTGTAAAACTTTGACATGTGTACAGTTAATATTGATTGATTGATTGATTGTTTGTTTGTTTGCTTTTATTGGAGGTGTGCCAAAAACCAATTGGGTCGGCACCCACTGTACACGTGTATTTTGCATAAATTGATTTGAACCAGCTGTGGCCATTAAATGCAAAACTTCAGAAATAAATAATTAGGAAATAATAAATGCACTGTTGTTTTTATGTGGAGTCTGTGATAAACAATTCCTTGATTACTACACTACAGCATAACCTACTTTGGAAAACTTTTACATAAAGACATAGAATCATACTTTATATGGTCAGTGTGACAGCAGTACATATGTACTCCTTATTACCTTCCACCCCCAGATCTTTATTTGTGGGGATATCCCCCTCCTCCATCCCTTCTGGCAAAGGCTTGAAAGACTCCGGCATGTTGAGACATTTCCTGACTGGTGCCTGGGCTTCCACCCGCTTCCTGAACTGTGTGTACACATCTGGTGTTCTGCAGACATAAAGACAATTTAACATTTAAGTCTAAGAAAAAATCTATAATTTACAGTAAAGCATGCATATACTTTTGTTACCACTCTTCCATAGAAATTTGTCAGATAGGACACCATTTCTGATCATAGAAAAACAGTTTAAAAATTGAAATTCCTAAAAAGGGGGCTTAAAAGGTTTCAATCATAATGGCAAGATTTTAAAATAACATAGTCAAAATCAGGCAAACAGGAATATTAAAACTCACTGGGCAGGTGAGAAAGGGAGATCATCTTTGTGATACAGAGTGTGACCCCAGAATGTTTGAATGTTCACACCACAACATTTCTTGATGGACTTCTCAACATCTACTTCCTCTTGAGTAACCTTGAAGAAAAAAATATTTGTTACAATATAAATGTAGTAAGAAAAAAATAAAAATATTATTGATAATATGCTTTGTTTTACAAAAAATGCTAAATCAACTTCAGATCTATTAAGCTCCTTCATGAAGGAATGATTCTCATTCTAAATATATGAATAATATTTCGAGTAATTTTCGATTCATGAATATGTATAATCATTTTTAAACTTCATGAAAATTAGACTGATTAGATTTACTAAGTAACAAAAAGAAAAGAAAACCTCCTGATGGAACGCAATGGCCTGAATTGAACTTTGACCCAAAGTGTCAATCATTTTCTTAAGCTCCTCCTCTGGTTTCCCTCTTCTCACAGCAAGGCCACTAAATTTAAGCATTCAATGAAAATTACAATCAAAGTGATTTTTTATTTTAGAAGAACTTACTCCTGCAAAGAGGGGATAAATGTAACTCTAAATATATACAATGTACATGTACATGACTGGTCCCTCCTATAATGTTTCATCATTTATTTATTTTTTTTTAAATTTTTCTTTGTGTTCAGAATTAAACCAGTCTACATCATTAAACACTCAATGAACTAAAATTTTTACTAAAAAATACATTAAAATACAACAAGGTTGCTGTATGTGTGCCAAAACCACAAAATTTTACCTACCCATGCACTGATATCACACCCAAAACAAATCAGGAAACCACATACATGTAGCTTGTGCTTGCAAGAAATCTACCTCAGTTTTAATTATCTCTATCATCTGCTTATAAAATGAAATAAACACAGAAAAAATTTCTTTCTAGTTCGAGAAAGTCATACCCTCTTACGAGGCCATTCCTCAACATTATACCGACCTGCCCTTTAATTTGAGATTCTTTCTGAGGTCCTGCACACTCTCTATCAACATTTTAGTCCTGTGGGGTCCTGTCTTCGGAAACCCAAAATGGTAGGTACCTCCAAAATGACGGGGGTCAAATACGTACATAGGCAGGACAAAATCAGCATTTCTGTTGGCCCACTGGAGCACCTGGTAATGTAATTTTAAAAGATTTTTAAGCATTAAGGTTTTATACTAATCTAGAGAAAAAGTTAATGGGTCAATTTATATTTTGCAAGCTACAATGGTTGATTTATGGTGGGGAAAATCTTTTTCTATCATAGCTACATACCCTGTACAATCAACTGAACTTTATTATCCTGAACCATATGGATATGATGAAATACAAGTACATCCCAGCACTTTTCTCTAAGGGTTTTAGATTATTCGAGAATTTTATACTTACAGTAAGTTTCTGTTATAAAGTATTTAATTCTCAATTTCTTAAACCCTCGAATATTTCAAGAGAATTTTTTTCTACAAATTTTTCTCCTGTAATGGAAGAGGAGAAAAATGCAGCGGACTGTACGGAGATTCGAACCTGGACCCCTGCAAATATCAGGTCCTGAAGGTGCTTTGCCAATTGAGCTATCACGCCATTGGTGATCGAACCCAGCTGACCACTTTTCAGAAATGGATAAGGTACTATAGTTGTACAGATATGATTCACGAAAACGTGTGGGTGGGATTATTATTTTTTCTGCACATCACATCATGACATAGTGTACAATCATGTTGCCCCTCCCCCCTTTTTCTCAAAGAAATTACAAATTAAAGGTCATGCTCCGGCACCCACTACTAACCCCCACCCCCATCCCACCGCTTCCTTCATTCTAAGACTTTGGGGAAGAAAACTTTTAAAATACCGGTGTCAGAAAGCCTACTCCTAGTCGTCATTTCATCAGTAAGGAGCATTGAAGGCACATTTATGACTGCAGCAAGATGCACTAGAATCAAATGCTTCATAAAATGTAATACTTTTATGCATTATCATACCTCATTGTCATGAATTCGTAAATCGTTTCGGAGAAGACAGATTATTGTTTTGCCTCTGCTTGCCATGATTTTCGGTTACGCAACCCAAATTTTCATTCGTGCTCGGTGTTTTTCCTAGAGAAAAAGAATATCGATCCCGATCAAATTCTGACAGTTTTTTTTTTTCGCAAGTTTTACTTTTTAATGTTCTATTGCAAATTGATTGATTCCATAAAACAAAAAATATCGTTCATTATAGAGAAACAATTTTGAAAAATCCAATGTAAGTTTATGGAGAATAAAAAATCTCAGAAAATAGTTATCATCAAATTCAAATGAAAGTTCTTGCATTCAGTATAGGGGGTTTAAATTATTTTGGAATTGAATTTCCATGCATATTACTAGTTGTTTAGTTGTTATGTGGCATTTTATTCAGAAAGACGTGGTCGGAAAATTCCTTGATTATTGTGTGTTTAAATGTTTAAGCAACAATAAAGTTTATACAAACTGTTTTAAAAATATTTAATTATTTATATCTGACATCTTAAAAGTGGTATCGTATTTCCCAGTCTGATTAAAACCAGCCCCCTTTTCCTTTCACTCGTCAGTGAAAGGAGAAGGGGGCTGGTTTTAATCAGACTGCGTGTTTCCTTAATCAAATGCAATATATTTACACTTAACATGCATAATAAATATTCTTAGATGAAATATTTCGATAAAAAAAGAATACGTGTATTCCTTAATTTGGTGCAGCAATAATTTCAATAGAATATACATTTTAAATGTTTTAATGTGCCAAGTATTACTTTTATATATTTCTTATATCAACTGAATAGATAAAAGATATTTATTAAAACGCAGATTTAAACAGACATGGGAAATAAAGTCTTTATTTATTCTGAACTAAATCAGAGTTTCAAATTTGTCAGTAAGATATAAAAACAGGCGGAAAGAGGATCCATGCAGATAGTTTGTTTTAAAGCAAAATACCTAGAAATGTTTCGTTCTCTGCATGCTGGCGCCACACATTCACTATATCATTAAAATATTTCTCTTATCATGCTTATTCTGATACTCTGGTGACAAAAGTTTCATTTTCACCCAAAGCCTTTATACTCAAAGGTAAGAGGTTTCCGTGAAAACGATACATGCATACGCAACATCAACGATTGTTTCTTTGAGTCTGTGCAGATATATTGTTTGGTGAAACGGACCAAACGTGTATATATCCATGTTTGTGTATAATTAACGGATCGCACTGAAATCGAGAAATTCATTACTTTATCAGTTAATCTCAATTAGCGGAACTTCTATCGCTTCCGAGAGATTTGGACCGAAGTCCCGATTGATCTTTGGCCCACAGGGTGTTCACCGGTTAATAAACGTCACAGATTCATCAATTCAATGTCCATCATGTGGAATGATCACGAACAGAAATCCCTAGATTTTGGACATCTATAAAAAATGATTCTGACAGTGGAAACAGAGAAATCTGATGTACACACTACGAGATTTAGATCTCAGAGATTAAGAATCGTTTTTGAAGGGGGGGGGGCGGAGAAAAAAAATCTACTTCAATACTTGAAAAAAGTTATAAGCCCCAATAATCATAATAATTTTAAAAAGTCAAAAAAAAAAAATATTAATGAATTGTCCAAACTCGAAAATCCTTTTTCGTGGTGGTTGGGGTTGGGTGGGGATAGGATGGGTTGGAGTGGGTAGGTTCCAACTTCTTTCAGTACTAAATTTTTCGCATACACTTCTTTCCCGATGCTACGTGCCTGGATGAAATATATAGAGATAACGAACAGTATTCAAGCTCAAAAAGTCCATTAAACAATTATACAATTTTTGGAGCAGTACAAACAAGGACCTCTAAAAAATCAAGTACCATGTAAGAGTGAGCATCCCCTGCAGACCGGCCACACCGCCGTGTGCTCCTTGTCTTAATCGCGAAATTACGGAAAAATCCGTCGACAATTCAGTGTATAAATAATGGTATAACAATTAGTATGAAAAATGTCAGTCAGCATTTGACTAAATGTTAAATTGTATTTGCTGACAAGGTCATTGTATCGACCATAGAACTTACGAATTGACGACTTTAAACAAGACTGTTGATATTCTTGTTTCATCAACTTTGTCAATAACTTGTCTCGTTTTAGAAATTGTTCATATACGAAAAGCATGCTCTAGATATAAACTCGGTATGCAGGTGATGAAGGTATATTGTTTCATAAGTAAGGGAAGTTGACGAATTGAAAAGTTAATTAAGTCATCACGTTAATTAATTCATCATGAATCTGTTATATCACACACGGAAATATTTTCCTTTTCGCAAATAGATACTCATTGAAGTATTATAAACGTTCCGTACTCCATATAGATTTTTCAAAGAATATCAAATAGATATACAAGGAATTATAAGTATACAAGAAGAAAAAATTCCAAATATATGCTATATAGTTACTCATAAAAATGATTTACGGGGAATACAAGCATACCCTCTCAAAGTAAGGAGATCTTGTATATATTTAACATAAATCTTTCAAAACGGATAACAAGAGAATGACTGAACTTTGCGCTACAGGCGAGAACAATTCCATCTGTTTTATCCATGTTTACACAGATGATACTATCTTAGAGATTGTTATTTTTGTACGATCAGTTTCCAGAACAATGTAAATCAGACATTAAACCCCACGCCTTCATGTATGTTTTCTTTAACGATCAGACACTATACAGTTCTCAAAACTTTCATTGTTTTTTCTATCAAATAAACTCTTGTTTTCAGATGTCAGGGCTCTAAGTATGGTGGTTAACATCAGATACCGCTCTGTAATATGAAATACAGGGAAGCCTGTCTAATCAGAATCTTTGGTATTCCGAAATCTTGCCTAATACGATTTTGAATTAAGACCAATTGTGTAAATTGCTGTTATATCTCTAATCCGAAATGCTTTCTAGTCCAGTCAATTTTCTTCGGACTCACGGGGGGGGGGGCAAATTTACTGTATTGTCAGGTTGTAAATTTTGAAAAATAAAACAAGACGACTTGTAAATTTTGTATTTATTGCCATCGGTAAATTCAAAATTTACAATATGACCGTATTACACAATCTATAAATAAAATCAATACAATGTACAATGAAATATTTTTTATCTTATAATATGAAATTAGTATACTACTGTATATTTGATAATATAAAATATTAAAAATTGAATCGCGGGAAATATGCATTAGGATATCTCATTGATAAAATAAATACTATAATTCAACTGAAAACAGATTTCATAATATTTAATATGCTTAATACTTCCTTCACGGAAACATCAAAAATTGAGGCATCAATGGATATTGCTTTTTCACCCAAAATTAGTTTTCATCTCCCTTTTCCTAACAGAAATGTTCAAATTTGAACTTTTTGCGATCAATTACCGGTACGTTGAAATAATAATACAATTTTAACATTGCGGAAGAACTACCTTTGCTTTCAATGAAACCACCTAGCTATGTCTTTATTTGGTACTTTGACATGTAAAGTCTGAAATCCTACATTTACACTGTTATATCTGGAAATGACAAATATAATTCTTCGCGAACACACTGCAAAATAGCAAACGTTGCGAATTTCAAATCAAACACCGTTTAAATATGTAGACCAAACAAGTTCATCATGAGAAATAAGCATTTGTATTTGAAGACCAGGAAGACGTTTGTTTTCGCAAACCCAGGTCTACTAAATTTCTTTATAAATGTTCGAGAAGGAATTAAAAAAAAGTAATTTAAAAGTGTTTGTTAGGGATATGGCCGTCTTCACCAGAACTTTAATTTAGACTGAGTTTTCAAATTAGTGGTTAAAAAATCATTTTGATCTGCGGATTCAAAATGGTTATTCGAAATATGGACGGTTTTTCCGGAACTTTGATTTAGAATGAGTTTTCAAATTAGTGGCTAAAACGATTTTGATAGCCGGATTCAAAGTAATGATTTTTTTAGCGATAAAACAGTTTACAGACTTAATTAACAGTTATCCGTGCATGTTAGAGATTGAGAAGTGAAGGGATGATGTATCTGTTAAGATTTTTTGTGTGAGTGCGCGATTTTTATCTGGTTTGTCTGTAAATATTAGAATGTTGATTGCATTGGCTTTTATTTGCTTTATGGAAATCTTATATCAAATTACACCGACAATAACACTAGCAGGTTACCTATTGCTATGACAATTCCTTTGTGGTCCAACCAGCCGACCATTTCATGGAAAATCCAGTAAAAGCGTATATAGCAACCCGGGCAATGCTTAGATCCATTACACAGCGCTTATAAATGCTATACCCGTCTCAACAGCATCACGAAACGTCCGCCTGAATCAATAATATTTAATTGTTATTAGCTAAATTAGTGATAACAAATATCTCGATTTTCGTTTGGCTTATATGAAGTGGTTGTCGTCTGCGAGGTAATCGATTGTTTCCAGTAATGAAATTCCTTCCTCTAGAATTAAGAACTGTATATCCTGTATATCATTAGTATACAGAGCGAAATTGTCGAGTTCCCTACAGAAAATCTTTCAATAATTGGAATATAACCAATTTTGTGCCGATTTTTTTTCTTCTTTTTTCCCCCTACACTCCGAAACTTTCTCGTGCCTGGAGACCTGGGTTCGCGCCAAAGGGTGAAAAGATTGTACCGACAGACAGATCATACAACGATTATAATCCGTGTCTATGTTAAGATTTTCTTCATATATACAACAGAAAGATTAGGAGTTCTTATGGGACTGTCGGTTCTTTCTTTACAGTTTAACACACCAAACAATGTGCCTTGACCTCTGCGGAATCACCTGGAATTTCTGCTCTTTTAGATGGAGATAGGAAATATTCCTTACATGAGGTAGGTAAAAGAAAGTCCAGGCTCCCTGGTCATAAAAATGAGATGAGCTCACTTTTGACTCAAGTCTCACTTTTCCCACTATTAATCCCTTTGAAAAAGTGGGACTGAGATCAAAAGTGACCTCGTCGCAGTATTAGGACCCCGGAGCTAGATATGTGTTTCTTGCTTGAAAAAGTCTTCTAAAATTAAAATTTAGAATTTTAAAATTTTTTAACGACCATTTTCAATTACATTGAAAAAAAATTTAAATTTTTAGAGAGGACGAAAGTATAGAATGAATGTAAAAGGTCTTTTAAACATGAACAGCACCTTGATGACTTGTCTTGATTTAAGTTTGAAAACATTTCGCAAAAACTTTAAGATAATGAATTTAAATACATATACAAAACAAAGTGGTAATGTAATAATTACTTCCTTCTTTTAAAACTTCACCTACTGGGCGCCAAAGTATTTTTGTTTAAAAGTTATGTCAAATTATTTAGCGTAACCTTCATTTTGAGTTACCTTTTTCAGAATTCCGATCAAATCTCAATATATGAAGGTTATACAGTGTATCATACACTGTGGTTCAATAATTTCTAAAAAATTCAGTAATTTGGCAAAATATAATTACAACTGCATATATTTAAAAAAAATTAATAATAAAGGAAAGCAGAACATGCAAAACAACATTCTTAATTGTTTGTATCCATGTAAATGTTGTAGAAAAATGTGGGAGAGATTGAGCGATGAAATGCATCATGGCTCTGAGCGATGTGAAATGACTGACCAGTCGATAAGAAACTTGCCCCACTAATAAGATACACTGATAACGCTTATTATAGAAGAATCAATCAATTCCATATTGACCAAGATGATGAATGAATTATTTTATTTTACTGTATTTAATTAATATTGAAACAGAATTACATTTGAATTGCATTTGAAGACTGTCCAGTCTTCAAAATTAATGCAGTTCTGTTTCGATATCTGACTACTACTAGCAATAAAAATGTATTTTTATTTGCAAACGCTGTTTGAACCTTTTCCTTCGTGAATGCTCCTATTCCGGAACATTTATATGTATAAACCGAACTCTAGAAGTGTTAATTGTGTAAAACTGACGATTTTCCGGGATTATTAGGTTATTTGTTAATAAGAAACAGCTAAAATGAGTGTTGGTTTACTGTTTATCACAAATTATTTTCATATCGAGTTACACATCAAACATTTAGGGAATATCCTATTGGTTATCTGATATTCACAAAGTAAATTATTGATAACAACCAATACAATAAAAGAAAGAATGAAAAAAGTTCCAGTTACCGCAGTTTTTCGCACGAATTTCCATAACAAATTATCAAAACGTATACGATAGGTCAGTAGGCCATTTACTGTCTTTACGATAATTTTATGCAAATTTCCGATTCTGAACTTGAAATGAGTTGTAGAACCATATAGATAAGATGGAATGTGAACCATGATTAACGAGTTATTTTAATATCGCAAAAATCGACAGCCGTTTTCTCTGCAGCATCATATTTATATCAGATAGCGAGGAATCGGTGTAAATATTTAAAGCGCACGGGTTCTATGGATGCCCAATTAACCGATTGTTGCACGGTGTAAGGTATATAGATACACGATAGAAAATAAAATGAAAGAATTATTTTTGAGAACATTTCTCAACACAGATATTCAATTCCGAACAGGTATGCAGTAATTAACGGTTAATTGTTCGGAACTTGGAGATAAAAATGTTTCATTACATTTCGAGGATAAAATAGAAATAAAAAAGAATGTTCTATGGATTAATTGTCAGAACCAAGCTTTAAAATTTGCTGTAAAATACCCAATTGCATTACACAGATAATGCAGTCAAGATTATTTTCGACATTTCACCAGACTGATGGCCTTTAACCGCCTACAACGATATGCTCCGAGGACCACCTTTTCTCCTTCAGTTTTTTATCCCCTTGCAACGGAGTTGGAGGGGATATACTAGTAGTAACGCAGTAGTGTGTGTTCATTTGTGGGTGGGTGAATGAGTAAATTCTGTGAGGAACGGAAGTGACGTCACTTGCATCGAGATCCATGTAGAATGCTGCCGTAATTTACAGATATCCTTTTCGCAATGGGATGCTCCGCTTTTCGGTGCCCTTGCTCATTGTTTTTCACAATGTAGGGAAATGAAACATATGAAGATAACGAAAAGTATTCAAGATCAGAAGGCCATAAAACAATACGAAATAGGAGCAGAGCAAACAAACACGGACCTCTAAAACGTCAGAGGTGGGATCAGGTGCTATAGAGGAGTGGGCATCCCCTGCCGACCGGTTTCACCCGCTGTGTGCTCCTTGACATATATAATCGGTAAATAACGGAAAAATCCGTCGTCTATTCAGTGTAAAAATAATGGACGAACAATTAGTATGAAAACACGTCAGTCAGCATTTGACTTAATGATAAATTGTACTATATAGTATTTGCTGACAAGGTCATTGTACATATCGACCATAGAACTTACGAAATGATTGCTTTAAACGAGAATGCTGATATTGTTTCGACAAAATAATTAAGACTGTAACATCTAAGAATATACATGTATTTGGTGTGTAACATATCGAATTCTTTGCTGCGAGTACATAAAAGATTATAATGAGGTATATAATCTTTTATCTTATCGTACAAGAAATATAGAGAGAGAAAATTGTGCTTGCAGTCATGTCTACGTTATTTACATTTGATATCAAGTTATTTACAGAATGATAAACAACGTAAGAAATCGCTGAAACTTGTGGTTCTCCTAGTTCTTAAGTAAAGAAAGATTTAGAAAAGCAAAATGTATTTGCCAACAATGGTTAACCTTTTTGCTCACATTTCTTATTGTAATCTTTTTTTTTTTTGAGTTCAAGGCCAATGTGTCTGCAAGACACTTACACAGAACCTTAAATATAAATCTTGACAAAAATGATATTGCAAAGATAAAGACTTTGCAGATCATTTGAAAAAAAAAATATCATCAAAACTAAAGCACTGTTCTTTCTTGTGAAATGGAAGGTTCTGGTATATAGTAATGAATCTCTAAAATGGAAGTCTAGAACTTTTTATGGCATGTTAACATATTAAAACTTATATTCTGGGGCCAAATTCTGGTTATCAAATACCAATATCAATTTCATTCTGGCTCAGAGTAGAAGGTCCATGCCTTCTCATCCTATAGTTTGGATACATGATAAGGTTAAACTACTTCTCACTGGGAGTTGGAATGATTTTGGATTCTATATAGACCCGTTTCCAGTGGTAAAGAGGGAAAATATTGGGACCAAGGGTCTTCCTAATTCTCGTGGTTTTATGATCCATGTACCATTAGGGGGCATTAAGGTGGTTATTGTGTCTAATTTGAACAAAGTCGAATGATTCTTCTATTAACAATATTCAATAAAAGTAATATCATTTAACATAAGTGATGATTATTGTCTTTGCGGTTAAATGTTGATATGTATGCCTGTACTTTGTCGAAAAAAATGAAGGTAGATTTTGTTGCTAACCCCCCGTTCACACATAGACGCCGCTTCTACTACGATCAAAGCGTGGCCGAAAACGTGGCCGATCGTGACAAATCGCAGGAGAAACGTCGTATAGTCTTCATAAACGCAGTGGGGTCTTCATGATCGGTGAGCTCCACGCTCTCGCCACGCTTATTTTGAACATGCTCAAAACAAGCGTAGCGGGATCGTAGCCAACAAGAATCGGGGTAAAGTCGTAAAAAGAGCGTAGTAGAAGCGCCATAATCGTAAAAGCAGCGCGGAAGCATCGTGGAGAAATCTTCGTGATCATAGTAAAAGCGCAGTAAAAGCGTAGAAACTTACCAAGTACGCTTCTACAACGCTCCCAGTACGTTCTTATTACGTTCTCACTACGATCTCTCTACGTTCGGGACGATCCTACGAAGACCTAAAATGACATTACGCCGATCATATCACGACCTATTAGGCAGCAGTTTGTTTTTATAGCGCTGATATTTGATTTAAAATATATTTAATGAAATGGATTGAACAGCAGGCATAAATGCCTATGATCATTCTCTCCATAGGTCGAAGCATAATTACATGTATATTAAAACATTGAATGAAAGGTATATTATCAATTGGTACATATTTAGAATGAAGCGCTGATATTTGACCAATCATCACCTTTCAACTACAATATATAATTGAAAATGCCCCGTAAACCATGTGGTAAAGGCCGCGAAAAGTCTGCGGTCGCAAGATATATATGTATCATCGCCAAAATCATATTAGAGATATCTGCGGTTGCAAGAATTATTTACATCATCGCCAAAATCGTACTAGAAGCGTAATGCAATCGAAGTATCATCTGCACCACCGTAGCAATATCGTCGTACAGTCATCTAGGTCTGCGTAGCGTCGGAGTATGATCTTCAATGCCGTAGTGGCAGCGTAGCGTAAACGCAGTAAACACGGCCGCTGGTCGGAAACTGTCTGCGTAACATCGTAGACGAAGCGTGTTAGCAGCGCGTTTGACGTAGGGGCATCGTAGTACGGTCGTCATGAGAATTACAATTTGCCAAATTGCTCGATTTAGACGCCGATCGGCTCCGTTCCGCCCCGATCCAAAACTTTTTAGATCGTGGCTTGATCGGGATGATCGTCGTAAAGTCGTAGCTCTGTGTGAACGGGGGGTAACAGACTCATTTCATCATTCCATAATAGGACGGTTTTATTGTTATTGCAAGAATAGGAAGTTCTGCCATCGGCCAAGTCTTGGGACTACTAAATAACTCGTGCTTTCTAGCAGGATATCTGTTTAAGAAATAATGCATATCAGACAACGAAGATAATATAAAATGAAATAAGTTGTAGAAAATGAACGAATATAAAATAATGTGCCCAAAAGATTTCTTTTCATCAACAAAATGCTATATTTTTGTAATACTAGAAAGAAAATCTTTTCAGACATCCTGGTCAATTTAGATAACACGTATTTTCACTGGACTA